AAAAAAAAACTGGTTATAATATTTTTTAGATGTTGCTGGGACAAAGGATCGAACCCAGGTCCTACGGAGTGATGGTACGCTACTTTAACCACTCGGCTTAAGCGGCCGTATTATGGGTACAGCCAAGTTAAAAAATTTAGGGACCACTTTAATTGTTAAAGAGCGAGAATGGATTAAAAGCAGGCGCGCTTTCACCTGCAGAAAACCCTAAAATTAAGTAAGTCGCGGATCCAGTGCCCAAGATCGTATGAACATATCCAATAAGTTCAATTTATTCAGACTCTTCTGCAAACAGAAACAAGATTTAAGTTTTAAAGTTTTTGTTGATCTGCAGCACGATGTTATACTGCCCGCGGAGCTCAAATCGGCCCGAATTTTCTTTCTTTTGTGGGATTTCGGTCTCTTTAAAAGTCGTTGTGAGAGAGTGATTTATGATTCTCACTTTTTTCGGGCGGTTTTGGAAAAAAGATTTTAAAGCTTTATAAGTACATAAATCGAAATTTTTTATGAAAATGTCACTTTATAAAGCTTTTAAAATCTACTTTGTTTTTTATGAATAAGTACATAAAATTTTAAGTTTATCGACTTGCATTTTCTTTCACGAAAAAAACGGGGTTTGTGCTCGTCAGCTTTTGATCAGTCTCCTCTTTTTTTGAAAACATTTGCAAAAATTCGCCTAAACATCAAAAAACTAATCTAAATTTTAGAACCATTGAACTAAAATTTTAAATATTGGAAATAATGTAAAACATACACTGAGAAAAGAGCTTAGATACGTCAACTAAGTACATTATGTATGTTTCTGTCACACACACATGAATTGGTTACAGTTACATTATTTGGTTATAGTTACGAAATCATGTGTTGGGAGAAATACATTTACTTGCATGTATATTGAATGTATAAAAACTATCACGCATTCTCGGAACGGTTTCTTGAATATACCAACAAACAAGGAATTTTCAAGCAAAAAACAAAACCGACTTCAATTGTCATATAAAAATTTAATATTATCGTTAATTTCCAATGACCTAAAGATCAGATTTAAACCAAATTTGTATGAGACCACCCTTGAGTTGCCACCTTTCCGATAGTCCGAAGTTATGCGGTAACATACATACAAAAAAATCCGACGAATTGATAACCTTCTCCTTTTCGTGAAGACGGTTAAAAATTGGTTCGATTTGTTCCACAAGAGCTCTAAAAACAAAGCCAATGAAGCAAAATATATATTTTTTTCAGTGGCCACACTATACATATGTATTTACCACCTCTCTGAACTTGGCAGGACAACTTTTTCTCAAAGCAAAAATTCCTATCGCATAATTTGCCGTTAATTATCCGTGAAAAGAATAATTTTTCCGCGGACATATTTTAAAAAATATCGAGTGCCACGGAAGTTAGCAGGGCACGCGATATTTTTTAAAATGTGTCCGCGGCAAAATAATTCTTTTCACGGATAAACAACGGATAATTTACGGCAAATTATCAGATAGTTAGTTTGGGTTTAGCTGGTTTCCTTTATTGGTTTTCAGAAGGTGTCCTGGTAACTTCCACGAAAGTTAGCAGGGCACGCGATATTTTTTAAAATGTGTCATCCGCAAAATAATTCTTTTCACGGATAAACAACGGATAATTTACGGCAAATTATCAGATAGTTAGTTTGGGTTTAGCTGGTTTCCTTTATTGGTTTTCAGAAGGTGCCCTGCTAACTTCCGTGCACTCGATATTTTTTAAAATATGTCCGCGGCAAAATTATTCTTTTCACGGATAATTTACGGATAATTAACGGCAAATTATGCGATAGGAATTTTCGCTTTGAGAAAAAGTTGTCCTGCCAAGTTCAGAGAGGTGTAATTACCCGGTTTAAATTGTACGAAAATTATTTCGAGTTGGATGAGTCTGATAAATATATCTCTTTTAACACAAGGTTTGGTAATTATAACCAACTAATATAACTATTAGCAAACGATTTGTTGGGAGAAACATATTTGGTTGACCTAACTTTACTCTTTCCTCAGTGCATGCCTTTTTTTTGATTGTAAGGTATTTCCTTTTCATTCTTGAATTTTCCTAAAAATTTATAATTCATTCATTAAATAAGCTCGGTTCTTGAAGAATATTAATGTACTTATTCAAGTGAAGCGAGGTATACATGTTTACATAATATTAATAATAATAATATTATTATATTATTATTATTATAATATTATTATTAATATTATGTATCTATATATGTACGTACGTGTACATATATTTGTATCTTTAAGAACGTGTGCTTTGAAACTTACTTACCCATAATAATACCGTTTTCATTGTCGCCGCTCGTTAAACGTTGAAATATTTCAAAATTCATTGTTTTTATGAATTAAGTCTTTTCTGTTTTACTGCATTTTTATTTGTTCATAAATATCGCCGTGTAGTCCTCAAAAGCTGCCTGGCATTTATAGTTCTGCGATGATTGTACAATATACAGTGGTGACTAAAATTAGGGGCTTTTACACGTTTTGGCTATTTTTCTTTTGTTTATTTACAATTTTTCAATTCTGTATGCAACTCCAGCTTATTTTCAAACAAAAACCATATATGTACATGCGAACTTTACACTTTGTAAAAAAATTACAAATATTTAACAAAGTTTTATCAAAACTTGAAAATTTCTTGAAAAATTTTTGGTATACAGTTATATAGCATATTAAATTTAGCAAGAGTAAGGTTACTTTGATTTTTGGTATCTTTTTATTTGCTTGAAATTTTTGTTATTAAAAGCTGGGTTATGCAAGACTTAGGGCTTAGGTTTCTCCAACTCAACTTAACTTAGTTTAGCCATTTTTTGAACTTAAGTCAAAAGTTAGCCTAATTTTTATTCAGCTTATTCTTGAATTAGTCCAAAAAATTGGCTAAACCAAGTCAAGTTGGGTTGGAGAAACCAGCCCATACACTTGACTTGACTTACCTAGAAACTTAGATGCGAATACTCAGCGTGTCGCCTATTATCTTTCCTGTTTGTTTTCATTTTCAGTACTTGTATTTGTACCTACACTTAAAATTGTAAAAGTTTAATTTGGTTTTACACCAAAATTGATTCAAAATTACGATTAAAAAATGTATTTACGCGATTCAAATTGCGATCGTTTTTGATTTATTCTTATTTTGTCTTTATTTGAATGTTTGTTTTTCGATTGCCAGATGAATTACTACATTTATACGAAAAATTATATTGGTGTGACATATTTGTAGGGATTTTATTAAAAAATGAAATGGCAGCATGATTCTCTCACGACTCTCTTTGCACTTAGAAATTTAACTTAGAAATCAAAAATCTATAGTTCTCCATGTTTCTAAGTGAAGTTGGTTTTTTGGCTAACACAAGAAAGCACAAAAACGTACATTTGACTTTTAATAAACTTATGACATTTCATTAAATTCTGCTGCCTGATCACTTAAGGAAATATTTTTTTTTAAAGCAGATTTTTGAAAATACCCGGTTTTTTAAATTATGCCGGCTACATAATTTTGAAAATGGGGTTGACGATTAGGTTTCAGAACGCATGAAGAATGTGATCAAAATTATACTTACATATCGTCGTTTAAAGTACAAAACGTTCTGCAAAACCGCGTAACTGACACTTTTTAAATTCATTTTGTTGGAAATTTTTCTTGAACCACAATATATTATAATATATAGGCTGCATTTCTTTATTCATTCTGATCGTTTGGAATAAATTTTTCTGTTTACTTATTCTTTAGAACGTTCCTGATGATATGTCAACGTACATATATTTCAAACGCATTCTGTGAAATGGGATTATCTGGAATATATAAAGAAACGCAGCCCTAATATTCACATACGAATGCTTTTTCGATCCGCTTACGACTGTTCGTAGGTGCTTGACAATTTCAAGCGAAAACGTACTCGAAAACGTTTCGTAAACGGCTATCATAAACGACTTTTTAGCTGGTTTT